ACGCAGAGATTTAAAAGAAAAACAGCAGTAGAAGAGAGAAGTCTTCAGGGGTTTTGTTTGATAGTGATTCAGTGGAGATAATTATTTGAAAAGACGACTTTGATGCACAGTGGGGATTCGGCTACATCTATTGCCTGCAAGCCGAGACTCTCTCAAAAGCTTTGTATTGCCATAGAGTATGTTAAATTTTTAATCAATTGATGTCCTGAAGGAGAAATGGAAAAGTGCAGATTTGCTCTAGTGGGAATGTAGAGGCAAGGACAACTCTCTGACATTTGCATATGGCTCTCTTGCACTCTTATGTAGAGGTCTAATGTGTGCTCCTATATGGCTTGAGTGACTATGGACAAGCTTCTGTCTGCTGCTTCTGATGCAATTAGTAGAATTAAATGTGCTCATGGCTGCTGCTGCTGCTACTTGATATGTGTTGGGCTTTAAACAGCAGTGTAGATGGGAGGACAAACTCATCTCCCTGTAGTCAGGGGGAGAGATGCCAGGAAAGCTCAGCTGTATCTGCAAGTGCTGTTGATGTGCTTTTCATCTGGCTGTGCGAGGAGATAAGAAAGGAGGCAGAGGGAGAGCTGCTGATTCCAGGTTTATTCCCCCCCCTTCCCCCGAAGTCTGTCTTTTTCTGTGCAGCTGCAGGTCTGCGAGCTGACCTGCATTAAGACATCAGAAACTGCCTGACAGGCTAATAGGAACAGTTTTCTAGAACATCTTTAAAAGCATGTTAAATGGTGGAGTTTTGGCAGTGATTTAAGGAAATCTGCTATTATGGTTTAACAAGGGTTCACCTAATCTGAGTTGGCAGATTAGAAATGCCTGGACATTGCCCAAATGCTTCTTTGATAACTGATGTCTCAGTGTCCATGCTAATGTATCTACAATGTATCTACGTACAATTTTGTGAATGAATGAAACTCATGAGCCAACATTTTTTAAGCTCTACTTCTTATCATGTATTATGTTACTTTTCTATGTGCTCGAGCCAGTCATTATTGGACAGTAGTGTGCAAAGATAAAACTTTTTAAAAAAGCTCTCTCTTCTAACACACTTGGTTCTTCTAAGACTTGCACTGTTGGGGGGTTTTCTGGGGAGTTTTTCCTTATTCAAGTTGAGGGTCTAAAAACAGAGGGTGTTGTATGTTGTACAGATTGTAAAGTCAATTTGTTACTTGTGATATTCAGCTATACAAATAAAATTTGACTTTTGTTGAGACTTGTCTAAAAGATTCTTCCTATTTTGCTGTAACCATTTTGCTTTTGTTATTCTCTGTAAACCTTTGGATGCTGAAGGGAAAATAGCTTTGGTTTAGACTGGTCTGGCCACTGGGCATCTGACAGTGATTTGCTGATCCTGTGCATGATGACTCTTATCCTCTAAGGCCACTGGAACCTAAGAGCCAGCCAATCACCCTCCCTCAGCACTCTGCTGTTGGCAATTATAGGTCAGTGTGTGTCACGACATCATTGTCTTCCCTTAGAATGGCTCAGTCCCAGCTCCGGTTGCAATCAGTTATGGTTTTCTCTTTGTTATTTAAAGTGGAACAGAAATCCAGTAGCACCATGACCATGGTATGCTGAATCATTGTTGTTTGAGCTGTTTTACAATAACATTCTCTTGCCAAATTCCAGGCAAATGGGAGAAAATGCATTAATGAAACTTTGCTCCTTTTCTTTTTTTAGAAAACACACAATCTTCCACGAAGCTTCCAACACTGGTCAAATAATCCTTCATCTTAATTAGCTTAAACATTTTTATAAAAAATGCAAACCTGCATCTTGTTGCAGGAGCTGAATGAAAGTGTGATCATAAATTGGAGCATAATAGTTTGACACAAAACGTACCAATTTTTGCATAATCTCTTCTTTCCCCTAATTTAACAACTATAATCAAAACATTATTAGACATTAGACACTTTGATGTCTTGCCTAAATTATAACTTGAATAAAATTGGAGTGAAATCCACAGCTAACTAGGGAAAATGAAATGAATAAATGAAGAAATCTACTGTAGAATAAAATGTTTTTTGAATGGAGAATGTAATTTGTGCATTCACATGTACTAGTCAGCAGCGCATGTTAGTCTTGTACATGCTGTGTGTTTTTGTTTGTTGTTTAAGTGAGGATGCATCACTCATAAATATGGTAGTAAGTTAAAAAAACAGCAATAAAAAACCTCTGGAAAAGCATCCATCTTAGTGAAAATATTTTACCTAAGTCAAGTGTCATGGAGGGATTATATACAGTATATATAAAAATAAATTTGGTCACTGAATTACATTATAGCTTTCTAAATGTTTTCAGCAGACCCAGACAAAAACATTTAACATCTCTCAACAGACTTGACTTCTTTGAACCCCTTGGCAGATCAGGGAAATACCTTGAGGGTATTCAAGTGACTCATGTTTCTCTCTTGAGTGTCCATGTGGCAAAGAAGTTTGAACTGTCTGTGGTCGCATAGCAGGCCACGGAGCAAAGTGACGCCTTCCTGACAGGGTCTGCTCAGCCGTCAGAGACGCTGCCTCTAAACTGGCTTCAACAAGATAATAACACTGCACAGTTTGATCAGCATCAAGTTGTTTGTTTAAATGCTCTGGTGAGGGGAGAAGAGCAGTGGGTTTTACTTACATGACATTGAAACGAGCTCATCACTGATCTCTCCAAAATCCAGGATGTTTAATTAGATAATCTACCCCATCACACAGCTAATAAACATGTCAGTTTGGCGGACATCCCTGTGATCTGCTCGCTCACTTCCTAGCATTGAGCACATCATGTATGTAGCGTCGTTAAAGAAAGGACTAGTGCAGAAAACCTCAAGGACAACTGGATGCTTTATTAAAAGTATAATGTATAGGAAGGCATGAGAAAGTTGTAATGTTACAAACATCCAAACAATAGAAAGTACGATGACAGGTGCCAGCATTTTACTGTCTAACAGGAAAGGAAGTGTCCTCTTGGTTCCAAAAGTGGACACTTGAAAAAGCTAACAGTTTATGGCCTAAGTCCATCCATCATCGATGTGTAACAGTCTAACGATGGGAAAGTTATGACCCTGATTATATTAGTCTGTGCACTGGTGCACTTGCTTTGTTTTGGGTCTGTGAGCTAAAGCTAATGAAGCTAAGATGCACAGTTTATTGAATAATCCTGAGGGAAGTCTCAGCTCACTGACAAGAGATTCAAGTTCAGATAAAGGTGCAAAGTCACTAAACAACAATGTCATGTTTTCATACTGAGTAGGGGAAGTTTAAAATGACCATAAATCTCAAACACATGTACAGTTGAGGGGAAACTCTGGGCAGCTTGTGTTGCCACTAGTTCTGTTTTCTATATGCACCCCCAGTCACAGTTTTACATTTCAGCTGTCCCCCGGTCCTGTGTTTGTGCTGACTTTGTTTTTATGACCACTCCAGTGATCCGTCGCCACCGCAGAGCTGCTGGTGTTAACACAGCTGAGGTGCATTACACAGACTGTTGTTCTTGCTTCATACCTGTTTCAAGGCTGTTTGCAGTCAGGAGGTTGTTTTGTGTTCACCTCAGAAGCAGATGCAGAATTGTGCATGTACTTTCTGTCAGAAGCTTTGGGATTGAGCCAGAGCAGAGGCTGTGACAATGACACTTGTAAAGCACAAAATGTCCTGTCACTGCAGTCTCCCTGCACCCAGTCAAGTCCAGGATCAATACTCACTAAATGATAGTTTGTTATACAAAGGAATATCTGTCTGTGCCATCTTGATATTAAAAAGGTTGGTCAGGATTGCTTCTTTTTGCTTAAAAAAGACCAAGAGAGTGAGAGTGAGTTGGTCAATATGGGCGACTGTACGATCTAACATTACCTGCCAGGTAGCTTTGCACAGATTCCTGTCCTGTACATAGCTGGATATCTGGTAGCTGACAGATACCACTAGTGTGGGCCTAGTGAATAATAATCTGTATCTTTCAGTTATACTTTCGAACTACTGGTGTAACAGGTCATAGCTGAATCATGATTTGTAAGGATCCCCCCTTCAGCAGTTCTGTGTGCATGTGAACTGTGGATTAATCGCAAGGTTTAAACATCATAGTGTGAAATACAGTTTTACTGCCACTGTTTCTTTATAAATTAATCATTCTCTAACTCTTCATGCACAATAGCAGTGCAAAGATACAGACAAAGCAATTGTGTGTTCACGCCAATATTAACAGCATCATACTTTGCACTGGCAAGCTTTACGTACTTTTGTCACCACAGAAACAGTCAGAAACTTACTGTTACAATTATGAAACGTCAAAGTTTCATTATGTTTAGGCTCACAAACAACTTCGCTAAGTGATTTAACAAATGAGTGCTGAAAATTGTAAGTTTTTAATCATACTTTGGTTGTTTTGGTTTCCTGATCCAAAACATGATCTGATCCATTGTGCCTTATCTAGAACACATCATATCAGTATTTTGATCACCTTAAGAGGGATCTCTGGGCATCCAGGACTAAGAAGAAGCCTGGCCGGTCAGTCTGTAAAATTGTAACATTAGCTAACAGTTCAGTATCTTAGACTGAAATGTACTGACTTAATTTAAATTATATCAGATGCCATCAGATTTTTATCCTTACATTTTGGCTCACAAACATGAGAAGGTTTTCTCCATATTATCCTAAATATTGCACTCAATCTAATGATTAGCCTATGATGTCCAGTGATGGATTTTTGATGCATGTCTTCCCACCCTCCACTCAGAATTCTGACTTTTTCTGAATTAATCTCAGAATTTTTACCCAAAGCTCAGAATTCTGACTTTTAAAAAAAGTCAGAATTCTGAGATAAAAGTCAGAACTCAAAAAATCTTTTATTTATTTTTTTTTTTTTACAGTGATACTAAAAACCATCACTGGTCCAAGTGTCTCAAATTTTGTTTTTTGCTACCTTTTCATTAACCAAATGATTACACGGCTAATTGTGAAAAATATTCGGTTAATCAGTTGGTAAAGAAAAGTGAGCGTTAGTTGCAACACTGGTGGCGCATCAGGGGGCGAATGCACCTGGGCCTGCGCCATCTGGAGGCCCGGACCCCCTCAATGTGTATTTAAAAATAATAATGTACAGCAGTGCTAAGTAAGCTGAGGGAGTAATTACGCGCTACCATCATCGATTTTACATAGGCTATACATGTAACTGCATTTAAACCACCCACGGACCACGCCAAGTTACATAAATCAAACACACCCTCTCAGCATTCACTAATGTAGAACATTAGCTTCTGGAAAAACGCTTGGTGTTTTAATTTAAAATGCCAGAGACATATAAAGAGAAGACCAGTGCGCAAAGAGAAGGAGAAGCGAGATCGGAAATAGGAATTTTCAAAACTGAAGAAACTGGATTATTTTTTTTTTGGTTTGTACTATGTTGTTGTCAGCAAATGCGCGCAAAGATGAGCTAACGTTAGCTAAAAACAGAAGATGGCGCTCGGGCTAGCAGCACCGTGGTCTCTCCTTCATTACCATGGAACAGTAGACTGGACTTTTCCTCATTTGAAAATGATAAAACCAAGAAATTTGGCCAAGTCATATCATGGAGAAGTTTGCATAGAGCAAAGCCAGCAGAATAGCGTCTAAATGGGTGAGTACACTCATTGTTTGGTAGCTGCTACACACAGCTGTGTGTGTTTACATTAGGCAGTATTAATAATGTACATACTCTTTTTTGAATCAGCTCATAATACTTGTTGGACTGCACTTGTTTTTGCTTTTACATCTACGTGTGTATTGTTCCATGGCTATGTTACTGTTTGCTGTTGACAGTTTGTTTATGTGCATGTGGCATCTGCTGCGGTGTCCATAGCCTTTTCAGTTTGTTTATGTGCATGTCGCATCTGCTGCGGTGTCCATAGCCTTTTCATTGATTGATGTTCATTTTTACTGGTGTGAATATGTGTAATTTTATAATTGATTATAGTGAGGCTACATGCATGAAAATGGTTCATTGTATGCCCAAGCAACTGCCCTTTTATAGGCATTGAATTATGGGATGAGGGCCCAGTAGTGTGGTCTGCACCCAGGCCTAGTGCTGTGTTGTTCGGCCACTGAGTTACACCCCTATTGTACAGAACAATAATAAAAAATTATAAAAATGTAATCAAAACTTTTCCTACACCTGCCTTTTACATGTGTTTAGTTTGCAGTCACATCTGTATAATCTGAGCCAGGAGTCCAGGTGGTTGAGCGATAGCAGTGAGCTGGGGAACATCCATCACTGTGGGTTTGTCAGCGGTTCTGTGGGCTTTGTTGGTGGGATTGTGGGAGAGCCAACTGCAGTAAATGTTTTTCTGATGTGGCAGATGTTGATTTTGGGACTTTGTACCAAGAGCAATCCAGATGTTACTCCTGCAGTCTGTCTCTGTGGTATGCATACATACTGTACATAGATAGAGCCACATAGGTGTGATGTGCTTTCCCTCTTTCTCCAGCTGAAGGGATATATCAATATTTTAAAGAACCTCATGAGAATTAGCAACTGTGCCTGACACTCATCATCCACAGTGCTTCACTCATCACCCTAAAAGTTGTGTTCTTTTCTCACTACAAACCCAATATACATAACATCTCCTTCACAGTGACACATTCAGGCAGTGATAGTGAACAGGACTGGAGCTGCTCTAGCAGATGGACATTGAACTCTTTTTTTAAGGGACATCTGGCCTCACAGTAATGCCTCACTGGATACAAACTGTAACTCTATAGCCTCATTGTCATGCTTCATATCCTCCCAGTGACCCTGAGCCCAATTATACATCTGACCCAAGCTTGATGATATAACCTTGGGTGTCTTTTGGGAGCTGCTGTGGCTCAGGGGTGCACGTCTTGTCTATCATGACATGTCAGCTCTGCGTGTTAACCAGACACTTCCTTGAGTGGTCCCGGGGGGGTAGGGGGTTGGAGGAAGAGTGACTCCAACCATCCAACCATCTAACCTAAAATTGGACCTATGTGTCAAACCCGAACATAATTTCTAAATCTCAGACCAAACCCAGTTCAAGCCCTTGGAAATTATGTATCACTGTGTTTTCTTACTTATTAATGATATGAAATGTACATTGATAATGGTAATCACTTTTATTGGCCAAGTATGTTACACACACACACAAGGAAGTTGTCCCTGCTACTCTGACAATTATTGATGTAGATTAAAAAATATTGTTGACCATATTTACCTTTTGCTGGATTTTTTTTTTTTAGATTACCCTGCTGTAGGACTAGAGGACCCTCCATTATATGTAAATGTGTCATGTATGAACACTGAAGTGTATCAAGACATATCCATAGTCTCCATGCGTGCTCGGCAGCTGTGATGCATTAATGTGCAGCACACTTAGTATGCGCTATAAGCTCTCAAAAGCCTACCTGTCACTGGTGCAGTGCTGCTTAATAGATGACGAGTTGATTTACATTTCCAAAGGCATGTGCATAGTGTACTGAATTAATTTCTATACAAGACTGAAGGTACGGGTTAACATGTTGCTGTTTTTTCTGTGGAGTTTCAGTCCAGGTTCAGGCACACAAAGGTAAAATATTAAAAGATCTGTTTTCTTGAATTAAAACAGAAAAGATCTGAGTAACTTTTCAGTGAATGAGCAGGTCTGCTGAGTAATGAGAAGGAAGGTTTTTTGTGATGAGAGCATCCCATTTGAATTGAACAATTGTGAGTCGGCTTGTTGATGTTACTTGGCTGAGCAAAGAGGATGACAAATGTGTCTGCCAAGGGCAGTTTCACTGAATGTCAAATACGTTGCACAGTTTTTCTGTATCTTGATAATGTCAGCTGGATATGGATATTTTGTGGCGTTAGGCATGGTAGTGCCTATTTGACGTTTGTTCAGTTGGTTCACCACTTTGCTCCTGACTGGAATATCTGAACAAACACCGAATGCACGGATGTGAAATTTTATACAGAAAATAATGGTTCCCAGAGGAGAAAACTGTCTGACTTTGCCAGTCCCCTGACTTTTCCTTTAGTGCTTTGAGCAGGTCAGGATTCTTGGTTTGTAATGAAATATCTCAACAACAATTTAAAGGATTTCCACAACATTTTGTACAGATATTCCTGGCGCCCACAGCGTGATTCCTAATGACTGTGGTGATCATCTGTCTTTTCATCTATCACCATCAACAAAGTAAAGTTTACACTTAGTTAAAGCTGAACATCTCGTGGGCAGGGCACTAAAATTTCTACAGTCATTAATAGTTTCCAGAGGATGAATCCTACTAATTGGCAATCTCTAGACATTTCCTTGAGCACTAGCATGACGCTGATATTTGTGGGTTTGAGTGAGATGTCTACAAGTATTGATATGACGGTTACTCTAGACATTCACATCCTGCTGAGGGTGAACTGTAAAAACCTTCATCAGGTCAGTGTACTTTATGTGTAGTGTCAATAAGGAAATATTAACCTACTAACAAAAACTACTAAACTACGATACTGACTATGATAAGAAATACACCTGCTAAATACTTGCATTTTAATTTCCTCTTTATAAGCATATTAACATACTGACTTAAGGATTTAGCTCAAACCAAACCGGGTGTCCTCACAGAGCCCCTAGTGTTGCTGTAGAATCTTTGTTGTTGTTTAATTTGCATTAACTGTAAACTTTTTTTTTGGCTTGCCAAAAGAAATGACACGACACAGTGTTTTCTTAAAATAAGATTTTTAATATTACTTATTATCATAAAGATATATTTACACACTTTACAGAAATAGAAAATAAAAACACAAAGCTACGCATGAAAGGAAAAAATAAAATAAGTACTCCAAGAGCTAAAGCTTATCTTTTATAAATTAGAAACCAAAAGTTCAAATATGTACACAGTATTTCAACCATTTCTGATACACTTGTTTTATTTATTTATTTATGTCATTTATTTTTGCCCAGTTCAACATCAAAACAAAGACAGGGACTGTACATTTGGCCTGGTGAGTAATATGAGCACACACCATAAACAGAATATAAGTTTCAGGAGTAATACATTGTCTTTCAAATGGTATCTGCTTGAGACCTAGTAACACTGTTGTGATGGCGTGTAAGCCTACTGACTGCATGTCTTCTCAGATTGTTCTGAATGTAGCTGACCTTGGACACAGCGGTTACATAGATGGAGAATGTGTCGTAGTCAAGACAGGAGGGGCCTGTGCTATTCTGGGTGTAGGAAGTCTCATTTTGAGGCGCCAAGATAATGACACATCATAGTCATTTCCCTTGGGAGCTAAAATCTAGTTATCTTTTGGATTGCCCAGCTGGTGGAAATGTGTGAATGCATTGGATTGAATATCAGCCACTTGATCCAGCAGGCACCCACTCTGAAGGCCAACATGATACAGTTTGATGGGCTTAGAGATTCACAAGGTAAAATCGTGGAATGTGTTGCCGACTCTGTTTGCATTGTGGTTAGTTTTAAACAAATTTTATCTGACAATAGGATAGAAAAGCAAAAACACCCTGTGTTTCTCTATGATGTTTGTGTGTGTGTGTGGGGGGGTTGTGTCTTTAACTGTTAGGAAACAGAGATCAATGGCTAAGCTAATATTTTAAAACCTGCTGCTAGCTTATTCTCATCTCCACCAGTAACAATTATCTATTTCTCTGCTCATCCCAACTCCTTGCACAATCCCAGCCAAATGTAATTGGACTAAAAGAACTAAACGCAAAGGGGCAAGTTCTCAGAACAAACATTTTTCTACCATGAAAACATGCTAACAAGTGCATAGGAACATTACTCAGGCCTTGTGATGGTCACAGAGAAGAGGAACTGGAGAGGAAACACTGAGAGGATAGAAACTGTTTCTCTTGTGTAAGCCTTGCTGGAAAAGACCATTAAGGAAAATGGTTTTGCTCCCCGAGCATAATGTATTGGTTTACCATTTCAGTTTGAGCCTGGACATGCTTGTCCTTCCATACCACAAGGCCCATTAACCTGATGTGCAGGGGAGGGCTGTGGGCTATGATCTACAAAGAATGCCTGAAAGCTTTCACGTGTCCACGACATATTGTGCTGCAGACTACTTTTCTATTTTGTTACATCCACAAAAAATACAGCTTTTCACACTGTATTAAGAAAGTAAGCTTTGGACAACCAGCTAGACAAGAATCAGACAAAAAATTGTCACAATACACTGGAAAACCATTCCATACCAAGAGCCTCTTGTTTTCAGGGTATATTTTTCCAGCAGCATAACGGAATTGCAAAAGTGCAGCCTTGCAAACCCAAACAGAGAAGTCTTGGAGCAAAGCCACGTCTATTTGTTGGGGCTTTTTGAAACTGGAGGCTTTGGATCACTGGGATATTTGGCTTTTGATTTTTGGATTCAACTGAAAACCAGACCGGGATTAAAAAAGGGTACTTTACATAAACACTGGTTTGCTCTGGTCTCTGAAAGGGCAGCGTGGCTGGTGCAGATGGTGAGGATACATTCATGAAGAACAGTGCGGATACAGACGTTGCTCGGCTCCGTAAGAGTAACTTCTGAGATGGGGAAATATTGATTTGAACCCCTTGACCCAGTCTACTTCCAGCATCACAGCTCCTGCGGCTTTGAACTTCCATCCCCAGCTCATGTCTTCCTGCTGTCTTCCCCAATAATACATGTGACATCGTGAGCAAAGCTGTTTCGCTCCCGAGGAGCGTGAAATCTACATCTCTGTCTGTGGCAGTATGAAAAAATAATGGTGGAACTGAAATGATTACTCTTCACAGTGCCCTAGGATTTAATACATTTTTAATCAAGGTGAGCTTGGCTGGGTGGATTTTAGATGCCCTGTTAATAAAAGCTTCTCATGCTGGGACTGAGAAGACCCTGCATCTATTATGATATTTGCATGAGACATGGTGAGAGGGAAAAGGTGTTGGAAATCTAAATTAATCTGTGAGTTGCCTAAGTTGTCACTGAAGTACAGTGTTTGTTGATTGAATCGCAGTGGATTTAAAATCAGACTCTCAGCTAAAACCTGATTGAAAAAAAAAAGTATGAAGTTGCTTCGCACACCTACATATACAAGAGACAATTGCAAGGTGTCTGCTCCACAGATTACAGTCCTACATGGTTACACACTGAATTAGCAGGGGTTTGGAGAGTAGAAAGGGGGAAGGGTATAGTTGGAGTCTTCAGTTAATTTAACAGTGTGCTCAGACTAAGTGGCCCTGGCCAGCTTTGGGGAGATCCATCTGAGAAAGATTAACTCCAGGATTTAATGAGCATAATGATCAAAGCCACGACCACCTGTGCTGTGGAGAG